GCAATGTTTTCCTCATTCCACATATTCTTTAAAAAGAAAGTTTCAATTTTTTCATTATAAAGGTAAATCACATTTACTCTTGAAAGATTAATGAAAGAAAATAAAAGTAATTCATAATTCCCACACATATTTTTTGTCTTACTATATCCTCATACAATTTTCTTCCATCTCAAAATATTTTTGTCTTGATGAATGGATAAAGAAGATGTGGTATATATATACAATGGAATATTATGCAGCCATCAAAAGGAATGAGATCTTGCCATTTGCAACGACGTGGATGGAACTGGAGGGTATTATGTTGAGTGAAATAAGTCAAACAGAGAAAGACATGTATCATATGATCTCACTGATATGAGGAATTCTTAATTGCAGGAAACAAACTGAGTGTTGTTGGAGTGGGGGGTGGGGTGGGAGGGATGGGGTGATTGGATGATAGACACTGGGGAGGGTATGTGCTCTGGTAAGCGCTGTGAATTGTGCAAGACTGTTGAATCTCAGATCTGTACCTCTGAAACAAATAATGCAATATATGTTAAGAAAAAAAAAAGAAGAAGAAGGTAGTGGGAGGGGAAGAATGAAGCGGGGGAAATCGGAGGGGTGGACGAACCATGAGAGACGATGGACTCTGAAAAACAAACTGAGGGTTCTAGAGGGGAGGGGGATGGAGGATGGGTTGGCCTGGTGGTGGGTATTGAGGAGGGCACGTTCTGCATGGAGCACTGGGTGTTATGCACAAACAATGAATCATGGAACACTTCATCTAGAACTAATGATGTAATGTATGGGGATTAACATAAGAATAAAATAAATAAATAAATAAATAATATTTTTGTCTTTTCTTTTCTCCCTCTCTCTTCAGTCAACTTGTAAACATAAAAATGTTCCAAATTATAGCTGGTGTACATAAGAGCAGATCTAGTTATATACTGGTTTCAGTGAATGTGAAATCAATATGCCTTGAAGCAAGGACAGACAAATAAAATATTAGTGAGTTGGGTATGAAGCCCCTGAAAATATTCAAAAGCCTACTTCAACACCACTCTAAAGCTTTCCATTTACTTCCATATCAGCCTCTGATAAGGTGGTTTACACTAAACACTACATTCAAAATTTTATTTTTTTTTTACATTCAAAATTTAAAGCACTGTATTATTATTCAATTATTACTCAATTATTTCATATTGAGTTTAATTTTTACAACCTGTACTGTAACTCATTTTCTTTGCATCACAAAAGCACAGTTCATCAATTATACGATGAGTTAACTGTTTTGTGGGCTAACCTAAAAATCTCACCACTATTTATTTATTTATTTATTTATTTTATTTATTTATTTAAAAAAGATTTATTTATTTTAGAGAGCAAGTATGCGGTGGGGAGGGGCAGAGGGAGAGGGAGAGTCTTAAGAATACTCTGCACTGAGCACAGAGCTCTATGCAGGGCTCAATCCCATGACCCTGAGATCGCAACCTGAGCTAAAACCAACAGTTGGGCACTTAACCAACTGCACCACCCAGGTACCCCTCTCGTCACAATTTATAATATTATTTCTCTGGATAAATATATTATAGGTTTCTATGAACCAATGTAGAAATTCTAAACCTATGTGTAAGTTGGGGAAGTTCCTGTACTTTCAGAGGGCTGTGGAAAATGATGGTATTTATTATTATATCTAATTCCATTTAAAAACTTTTATATGATCCCAACTGAAGTTTTAGGGACCATCCTTTATATCATCAGCCCTATTCAAACTACCCATTTGGTGATCTTTATTTTTTTCTCCATAATTTATATTGATAATCTCCCTTTGAGATGGGGTAAGGGAATGTTTGCCATGACCAGATCCTGACTCCTAATCCTATCTTTCATCTACCATTTACTGTTCCTGGAAGATTTATGTTTCCTAGAATTCAGAGAATCTAAGCAAGTTGAGAGCTTGTAGGATGTGACACTATTTCTCTTTCCCCCTTTTCTCCTTCTATCCTCACAGTGCCACACTTACTAACGTATAGCTGAAGATGTATTCTCTTGTCCCTTAAGATTTTCTTCTTCAGTGCTGTTCCTTTTCTTTCTCGAGATAGTAACTCATACATATTGGGGATGCCCTTAACATGCCCACACAAATAAGAAAAGCAAACCACGTATGTTATTCTCCATGAATTTCAAGAGTAAGGGTAACATGTTCCCATCTACAAATGCCTTTACCACAATGGGAAAGAAGTGGACTTTAGATATGCCCTCTTTTATACAATAGGTTTCCCCTGAAGAATAAGCTAATTAGAATTGAGCAATTTAAAATGCACTAAGAAAAATGGAAAATACTAAACTATGGTTTCTAGGAATGCACATTTTCTGATAAAATTACAAAAAGAAAAATGCAAGGAAGTGATTTGTATAAAAGTCAGAGTAGTAGTTACTTATCAGGGAAAGGAAAGGGCTACATAGATGGGGCTTGTGAACTGGGTGGCAAAGTCCTATTTCATTATCTAGGTGATTATTTTAGTGTGGGCTACTTTAACAAATTACGATAGACTGGGTGGCCTAAACAACACAGATTTATATCTCAGTTCTGGAGGCTGGGAAATTGAAGATCAGGGTACCACGATGGTTGGGTTCTGGTGAGAGCCCTCTTACTGGCTTACAGATGGCTGTCTTCCTGCTGTGCCCTCATATGGCAGAGAAAAAGAGAGATATCATCTCTCTGTGTCTCTTCTTATAAGGGCACCAATCCTGTTTATGAAGGCTCTACCCTCATGACCTAATTACCCCCCAAAGGCCCCACCTTCAAATACCCTCATACTGGGGATTTGGGCTTCAACATACAAATTTTGGGGGAGACACATTCAGTCCATAGTTGTGGTTTTCACTTATAATAATTTATTAAGCCATTCATTTGGCTTACATGGTTTTCTGTATCTGTGTTTTATAATAAAAAGTTTTTAAAAACTGTTCTTGGTTTTTAGATAAAACATATGTCAACTTTTCTTACCTTTAAAACAAAAAGTTCTTTATCTCTCACTCTATTGAATAACATGGCTTTTTTGTATGTAAAGGAAGATGGAAACTGTTCTCCAAATAGCCAATAAATAAACTTTTGCTTTTGAGGGCAATACACTGTATCATTTGCCACTACAGAAACTACTTATACAAAGGGTTCAATTTGCTTCCCATGGCATGTTCATTCAGCTCCTATAGCCCTGGACTTTTGTAGGTAGATATTGGCCCATAATGATTTAGATTTATTCCCAAGAGCAGTAGACCACTCGGTCAATTGTTGAGGCAAAGGAATGGGACTTGAACTCAGCTTTCCATGGCTTAAAAGAGACAGCATTCTTCCAGATTCAAAATAGTTTAGTCTCCATGGATTGGGGCAGGGATTGGGGAATCTGTAAACAAACATCACCATCATTAATGACCAGAAGAAACCCAGGCAGTGATACACAAAACTACTGGATGATTTCCTTCTCTCCAGTACAGAAAGTTCAAATGGATTGTCACGAGGCATTAGTGAAGATGCTCTGAATATTTTTGTATATTTTCCGTTTCACTAAGAATTTGTGGACTGATCTCTGCTCACTCTCACCCACTGTTCTTTACAAATGTCAGGTAAGCCTGGAAAATGTCCCAGATGGTCAAATAGTGAGATAAGGCAGAATATCCCTTATTCAACAATAACACAGGTGTTAGGCAATGATTTGAAAATCAGGACTTGAAGGACAAGGTCAATATCCAATTGGAGGAAAGAGTATTTAGGGTAAGGGAAGCAGAAGATGTCAGATTATGGTTGAATTCCAACTCCAATGAACTGCTCAGAATCCCAGATGTTCCATTTGAATTCCTCCCGTTGCCACTCTGAAATACTAGTCTATAAATTTAATTGGTTATAAGCATGATTTCCTAAGATGCTTGTTTACTCTTTTCATGTAGTATCATATTGCTTTTAATAAGGTATTCAAACCCTATGAAGTATGTTTCCAAAAAAAATCAAAGCTAATTCACTACACTTAACACTTAAGTGCTTCTCTAAGTCAATAAAACCCGCCTCTGCTTAAGTATAACTAGGATCTCAACTATCTCAGCTCCTGTAATAGAGAATTCTCCCCTCCATTCTTGCAGAAGTCCTTCAGAAAATGGACAATGCTGACTGGGTATAAGAGAAAACCTTTAGATCACTGCTATTGGAAAAACAAATGTGTTCCTCTTTAGGAAGAGTTAGCATTAGTGAAAATAACTCATTATCTCTCTCTCTTCTGGTTCCCCATTAAGTCTTTATTATCTCCCTACTCACCTCCTAATGCTTTTTTGGCCACCACTGAAGTTTATTTGGTCCCTTAAATGCTTTCTTGTCTCTGATTTTAATTATAACTTGGTCCTGACTCTCAATACTTCCTGGCTTGTGCTGCTCCATCTTTCCACTCTGATACTCTAGTCTCTTGACAATTTTCACCCTTACATATGAAACAAAGCAATCACTGTAAACATAAACACCCAAACCATACATCAGAAATCAGAGTCTTCTTGAGCTTAAGACTGGTTCCCAGTTGGAAGCACCATAGAAGACTGAAAATATATGCTATTTTAATGGAGGAGAGAGATTCAGTAAAGCTAAGGCTGGAGCTGATCCTGGGCAGACACAGTGGGTTGTGGATGGTGCTCATTTTCGTGTATTCATCATATGCTATATATAAGAGCAATTTATTTATTTCTTCAAAAACATTTATTGAGCACCTACTTTGCCAGGTGCTGTGCTTGTAGCTGCAGATTAGAATAATAAGCAAAGTGGTATAATCTCTGCTGTCTTTGAATTCACAATAATAATCCACAAGTTTACCAATCCTCAGATCTACCATGTAAGTATTATAAAGGAAAATGGCAGGGACAATAGGAGAGCAATAATGAGGGAGATCTGACCTAGTTTGGGGTTTTGGGAAGGCTTCTGAGGAAGTGCTCTAATGTGAGGGAAGTATAGAAGATACCTAAGTGGACCTCTGCAGCAGCATGTTCAAGGTAATTCAGAGGTCTGTGGGGCCAGCCAGCCTGAGTCTGCTCACCTTCAAAGTCTATGCATCACCTAAAAAAGACTCACCTCACAAAACTTCTGTGAAGGTTAATGAGCTTTCACTCTACTCCGTCCCTGAGGGTCAATCTAAATATGTGGAGGAGCCAAGGACCCCACTTGAAGAAAGCATTTCACATCTCCGATGTTACTGCGAGCCATATACAAGTTGGTGTCAGGAAATGTACTCACAAACTAAGCCCAGGATGCAGAGCTTGGTTCAATGGGGGTTAGGCAGCTATGAGTATCTCCAAAATGCACCTCCTGGTTTTTTTCCAAGACTTGGTGTTATTGGTTTTGCTGGCATTGTTGGACTTCTTTTGGCTAGAGGTTCAAAAATAAAGAAGCTGGTGTATCCACCTGGATTCATGGGACTTGCTGCCTCTCTTTATTATCCACAACAAGCCATTGTATTTGTCCAGGTCAGTGGGGAGAAATTATATGACTGGGGTTTACGAGGATACATAGTTGTAGAAGATTTGTGGAAGGAGAACTTTCAAAAGCCAGGAAATGTGAAGAATTCACCTGGAAATAATTAGAATGCTCCATGCTCTGCCCATTTTAATCAGTTATAGGTAAACACTGAAAACTCCATGCAGTAAACCAGTATTTCTACAGAGAAATGGCAGAGAAGTCAGTACTGAATATAGTAAATTGGCTTTCTTCTTCAGGACAAACTATACTAGGCTTCTTTGTTATCTTGGGTGATGCCATACTGCAAGCGGACTAATTGGAAATCCTTTCACCTAGAGATAATGTCTAGCCTTAGAACCCCTCGTTCTCAAGTTGCTATTTATGTACATAATTAAAATTCCAACTTAAAAAAAAAAAAAAGATACCTAAGTGAAGGTAGGGTGGATGGAAGAGCCCTCTAGACAGATAAAAAACAGATATGCAAAGTCCTTGAATCAGAAAGGAATGAGGCACAATCAAGGAACTGGAAGAGCAGGATAGTTGAGTGCAGAGTGGGTCAGATGTGGAATGTGGGGAAGAGATAGAGGTCAGATGGTGCAGAGCCCTGGAGACAATGTCAAGGATGTAAAATGTTATCCTAAGAGCAAAATAAGCCACTGTAAAGTTTTTAAGCAAAGGAGTGGCAGAATCAGACTGTGAATGATCAAAAGGGCATAAGATTACAGGAAGGAGTCTAGTTCCGAGGCTCTTTCAATGGCCCTGGCAAGAGATGAGAAGTGAATGGATTTGACTGTTGTTTAGAAAGTAAAATGGATAGGACTTGGTGATGGAAGAACCATGAAGAGTAATGAACAGGAGGCTCATTCGGTAGATGTAAGTCCCATTTACTGAGATAGTGCTTGTCCAAGAATTCTTCTCTAGAGAAGATAGGGGAAAAAACATATTCTCTTTCTTTGCAGAAATAGAATCACCAACTAAAGCTTATACAAGCTTTAATGAATGTCATTAACAGTAAGATTGGGTGAGGTCTTAGAATCATCTTGTATTCTAGACAAGAAAGAAAATTATCTTACAGTAGTAGAAAAGATAACTGATAAGGATGTCAGAGAACTTTATAAAATGCCATATAATTAATCTGACTAAAGAAAGCATAGATCTCAAGAATTTTAAAGTAGTGAAGAAAAGCTTTTACTTAGAGAAAAATTAAATGCTTTTATATAGAATGAAGCCAAGACACTACAGCTTTTAACCTTTTTTTTTTTTTTCCATCCATTACTGTTTTTCTGTGGAGAAAATGAAAAAGAAGCACCAGAGGGTATCTTAAAATTTCTGGAAAGGCATCACTTATGGGAAAACCTGGTAATATTAACCTAGTTCTCACTAAATGTTATGAAGAAAGTCTCTGACAGATACCATTTTGTAACTCTTGAACAAGGGACCAGCTAAAAATACCAACTTGAGACTGAATTGGTCTCTGCTTAGGCAAAGCCATGGACTAGAAAATGACAGAAAACTGCAGGTGTCCAAATATAGCATGCAGACTGTGGATTATCTAAGACAAGACTACTGAGGATTGCATAGGATTCACAGAATTGGGGGGAAAGCCTCCTGGTCCTATATACAGGGATGCTGCCAGCAGTCCTTGCTTTCTTTTTGGAGGACTCAATTTTTATACTTCACTGGAGGAGAAATGGAATTTCAGTATCCCCCCCTTAAGAAGTTCTTAAAGAATGCTTTGGTTTTTCACGAATTATACTTAAGTGGTGTTTTTTAAAGAAAGAAAACAGAAAAGAAAAAGAAAATTATTATCTTACAATAGACTTCTGGTATGTTTCCTGAAGAACAGAAAGTAATGTTTATTTATCAGGCTATATGATTTAAGATTTAAAATATTTATTAATTGATGCTAAACTTTACTTGGAAAGGTAAAACTAATTTCAAAAAGAAAAAAAAAGAAAAAAGATTCACTTGTAAACTTAATTTCCCAAAGTTTATTTTTCAAATCTTCTCATTTTTTTTTAAGATAATCTTTCCCTTCTCATTACCCTGGGAATGGATGCATCTAAACATAACCAAAACAGGTGCTTTCTGTACATTTTTGTCCTAGTCTTCAGGGCAAATCTTAACCTAAATCAATAATGGGATTTTTTCTGTATCTTCTTCATAGGACTTTTGACTATTTTAAAAAGAGAATGCTACTATGAAAGGTACTCATGGATAATTCTTTATGTCTCCAGTCTATAGCCTAGATAGGACTGTCTTCATCTCTTAAAAGAATTTTCGGAAAACCTGAATCACGTAGAAGATTTTTTTACATGTAAAAAAATCATGTAAAAGGCAGGAGTAGCCTGTCACTTCAATAACTTCATAGCACAGGTCTATAGTAATGGCTAAGCTAGTAAAGTCTGAATAAATCAGAGATGAAACATACCAGGGACATGGAGGAAATGACACTGGAGGACAGATTCCGATAAGAACCAAGCAATGACAATGGCAGTCTGTACAGGAAATCCACTCTCAGGGGAATTAGGTGTGACTTTAGAAGCTGAATTGTATTTATTCATCACTTCTGATATAGCTGGGAAAAGGCAAAAACTACTTAAAATGGGGAAAGTCACTATACCAAGGACCACACTCACTAGGCTCAAGTCTGTGATTTGCCTATACAATCAGTCTCAGAAACATTATGTTTGAGGTAAATACCCCTGCAGAGAATCAGCTGGATAATGAAGACCATCCTTCCTAATATCCTGTTCATATAAGACTTCTTTCTTCTTTTATCTCTCGAACATTTAAAGCAGACTTATTTTAAAATTCCTTTCAGATTGCTCTATTATCAGCAGGATTTTGGTTCTTCTATCTGCAAATGGTTTTGTTGTTGTCTTCTGTGAGCACATGTCCAGTGAGAGCTGCCTTTTATAAGACTCTTCCTGGTGCCCTGATTTCAGAAGTTATCTGAATTGAGAGGCTGTGAGGATAGGTTTTTTTCCTAGTCCTTAGACCAGTTTTCATATTAGATTTCTTGGCTTTGGGCTTCTGCACTTTACAAGTAGTATAAATTTGGGCCCCAACTCTAGGTGTGGCTTAGATTAGGACTCTGATTTTTCAAGGATGACTCTTTTTTCACCCAATGTCTATATGGGCTGCCCAATTCTGTGCCCCATTCCCTGGCCACTGAGTGGACTATTCCACAGAATGGACAGTCCCTTCTGGCCCATGGCTTTAGGCAAGAAGCTCAGGTTCATCTCCTAGCCACTCATAAGGACCTATTGTCTTAATTCCAGCCACTTGGGGACACATTTCAAATTCCTTATTCTCTTCAGTAGAAAAGTATTGATCTGGTTTTCCCCAATCAGCTGTAACAATGCCATCCTATCTCCTCCAAAAGTCTGTCACAGTCACCAAAATTCACAACTGCCAAGTCACTAAGATTTCATATTTCATTTAAAGAAGTCTGAAAATGTTTTTAGGTGCAATATGATGCAGTCAAAAACCACATTGGCCTGGGAGTCCAGAGACCTGCGCTCTTGTCTAAGTCTAGCCCTAAATAAGCTGTGTGACTAAATTTGTTGTTCATTTTGGGTTTCAGGAGAGAAAAAGAAGAATTTGGAATTGAAACAGAGAGGGACTCTTTCAGCTCTAAAATGCCATGATTCTATGAAATACTATCTTTCATCTTCTGGAGCCTCATGGGAGGCCATAGTGTGGTGCAGCATTTGCTTAAGAAAAGGTGAGGATAATTTATAAGGAAGTCCCTGGATCCCAGCTTCCCAGGATTATGTAGCTCCTCCTTCTTTAAAATAGCTACAAGACACATTAGCATTTCAAACACTGTTGCCTGTGACAGGTGATCTCAGGAAGATTAGGAGGTAGACAAATTCTGTTTTTTGTTTTCTTTTTTTATGTCAGGCTCAGTAAGTAAACATTAACAGTTTGAACGCACTATTCACCATTCCCTATTCATTTTTCATGAATTCATACAACATATCAAAGGGATAATATGCTCTACTCCTTTGTTCTCTCAGAATTGCAGACAGACTCATTTTCCTCTGTCAGCAAACCTGAAAGCTAGAGTTGTAGTTTAGTTGTAAGAATATCTCATGGATATTAACACAGAGATTAAAAAAAAAAAGAACCAATTAGAGGTGAAGAGTACAATAAATGAGATTAGAAACACACTTGATGCAATGATTAGCAGGCTGGAAGAAGCAGAGGAATGAATTAATGACCTCTATAGAAGATGGAGTAATGGAAAGTAATCAAGATGAACAAAAGAGAAAGAAAAGAATTATGCAAAAATGAGAACAGACTTAGGGAACTCAGTGACTCTATCAAATGTAATTTCACATTATAGGAGTCTCAGAAGAAGAGAGAGAAAAGAGGGCAAAAAATTTATTTGAAGAAATAATAGCAGAAAATGACCCTAATCTGGGAAAGGAAACATATATCTAGATCCAGGAGGCAAGGAAAACCCCCAACAAAATCAACAAAAGCAGATACACACCAAGGCATATTGTAATTAAATTGGCAAAATATAGTGATAAAGAAAAAATTTTAAAAGCAGCAAGACAAAAGAAGACATTAACTTACAAGGGAAACCCCATAAGGCTAGCCGGTGACTTTTTAGCAGCAACTTTCCAAGCCAGAGGGAGTGGCATGATATACTCAAAGTGCTGAATGGGGGGTGGGGGGTGACTGGCTAGTTCAGTTATAGAGCATGTGATTCTTGATCTTGGGGTCATGAGTTCAAGCCTCATGTTGGGTGTAGAGCTTACTTAAAAAATTATTCTCTTCAAAGCGTTGAACGTGAAAAATCTGCAACCAAGAATACTCTATCCAGCAAGGCTATCATTCAGAATAGAAGGGGAGATAAAGAGTTTCCAAGACAAACAAAAACTAAAGGAGTTCATGACCACTAAACCAGCCCTGTAAGAAATATTAAGGGGACTCTTTGAGTGGAAAGGAAAGACCAAAAATGACAGTATGAAGGTAAGAAACACAAAAGCTGTAAAAATGAATATTTCTGTAAAAAAAATCAGTCAAGGAACTCACAAAATAAAAGGATGTAAAATGTAAAAACATATACCGAAAACATGGGGAGGAGAGGAGTAAAGAATGGGTTTACACTTAAACAACCATCAACTTAATATAGACT